GGTGAGGAGTTGTTCGATGAAAGAAGAGCCATAGAGAATTCCAGCATTGTGAATGGTCTATCCAGAGAGCTGCCGCTCGGAGACGCTTCTCGAAGAATGTGTTGTGCTGGAACTGAGTCCGGACAGACCTTTTTAGCGAAATCGAATATCCATCGGTTGGAGTATTCTTCACTCTCATTAGAAGATGAGCGGTTACGCATGTTGCAAGCCACCCTCCACAAGGTGTCATTGAGGTTTCTCGTGAGAGTCCCTTGATGAAATTGCGCCAATAACCGCGTTGTTTTGCTTTGATTAATTGTTTCAGCTTTGCCTCAAGCTTTGAATATTCCTCGAAGTATGTGGAGGTTTTGTGTCTACGAAAAGCTTTGAAAGCATCAGATTTTTTTGCATACAATTTTGTGCATTCTTCGTCCCATCCAGGTGTGGCTGGTCTCCTTTTAAAGGATGCACTTGGAACTTTTCTTTTTTGTGCTTCCAGAGAGCTTTTGTATATCAAATCGGTGAGAAATCGATATTCTTCCAATGGTGGGAGGGTATCTATTGATTCGATACCGATTGTCACCACCGTTGCATATTTCTGCCAGTCGATGTTCCTTGTAAGATCAAATGGAACTCGAGATGGTTCTGCAGATTGAGGGCCACACTTTATTGAAATGATGATTGGCAAATGATCGCTACCATGGGGATCATTGATAACTTTCCACAGATAATCCAATAATAGTGATCTTGAACACAAAGATATGTCGAGTCGGCTTTCTCGAGCCGGAGGTTTAGCTATACGTGTCACTTCACCAGTGTTCAAAATAGTCAAGTTGAAATCGTCACATAAATTGTAAAAAATTGCCGCTCTATTGTCATCGTATAGATCGCCCCACCCAGTACCATGGGAGTTCATATCACCTAGAAATAATACTGGGAATGGAAGAATCGAAACTAGATTCCAGAGTTGACTACGACTAATGGAGGTTCTTGGTGGAACATATACTGAAGCTATGCAAAGATTTTTGTTCTTCACATTTATTTGGCAAGCGACGATTTCGACGCCTGATAGAGCAGGAAGGGACATTTTGTAGAAAGGGTAGCACTTTTTGATCCCTAAAAGTACTCCTCCATAAGAATCGTCTCTATCCAGGCGAATAATGTTAAAATCGTGGAAGTTGAGTTCTTCATCGGAAGAAAGCCATGTTTCACAGAGAGCAAATATATCACAATCAGAATTGTGAAGTAAAAATTTGAACGAGTCTTGTTTAGGCACAAGACTACGGCAGTTCCACTGTAGCACAGTGATCATATCTTCAACCTCGTTCGACGAATTATCCATCGAAAGATATGATTGATGCAAGGAGGGGCCATGAAACAGTTAATTGCTTAAGATATGATTCTAATGTTGGAAGCAAGGCTGAAACTAAGCTTCTAAGAGGGTCTTGTATGTTGAACATATTTAATATGAATTCCACAATGTCCGAAAAAGCTAGCAAACCGCGTTCGGACTTGGATTTCTTTTGAGAAGTTTGAGGAGCAGCTTTTTTGTTTTTCTTTTCTTTGTTGGGTAATGGCGGAAAATCCTTACTGCAGCCAGGAAGTGGAACAGTAGGAGCCTTCGATTTAATTTTTTCATCCCCATTACCCTGGGAATTTTTCAATCCTCTGAGTGACTTTAGTTTTCTTACGGCGCACTTTCGGGGAGGAGCATTTTCGTTTTGAGGATCCGTTCGCTTTCAAAGGTGCGTGTACCACCGTAGAGTCACCCTCATCGGATGAGTCAGAGTCCGATTCTTCAGCTGACAAAATCGAAAATTGATTTTCATCTTGGACAGCTGATGCAGCCTTCACCATTTGTGCATATGACTGCTTGGAGCGTCCAGAGATTGAACGCTGCACTTTATCGGAGTGCTGCTTGTACATTGAGCATTCCTGCAAGGGGTGAGGATTCTCGCCACAATAAGTGCATTTTACTGATTCTTTGTGGCAAGAATCCTCTTTGTGGTTTTCACCACATTTGCCACAACGAGTTTTGTTGCCGCAATGGCTGGCTGAGTGTCCTAGTCTTTTGCAGTTGGTACAATGATATACCCTCTGTACAAACAACCGCACCGGAAAAAAAGCACCATCAACTTTGACAAAGTTTGGGAGAACACTACCAGCGAAAGTCACCCGAAACGAGTCTGAATGCTGATAAACTTTCTTGCCATCTTTCAAAGATACTGAATGCAGTTGCCTTACATCCAGTACCTGTACCTGCTCACCGATTTTCGAGTTTTTGAAGCAACCCGATGCTTGTTTTAAGTCCTCGACACTCAGACTCGCGTCGGAGACCACACCTTCTATCTCCACATATCGAGAAGGGATGTAGAACCGCTTAAAAAGGAAAAAAAAAAAAAAACTTAAAAAAAAACCCTTCACCAATTAATCTACTTAACAACTAGTTGTTAATATTTTGTTGCCCAGTGTATGAACAACCAAGCAAAACAAAAACAAAATTATCAAAAAAAAAAAACTTTTCACTAGTTGCAAGAAGTTGCACCACTATAGCCCTCACAACCCTATCAGGGGAGAGGGCAAAGCCACGCGCAAAATTTTATAACAAAAGCGCGGCAATGGGCTAGAGAAGACTATTGTATAGTATAGTGTATAGTGTGAGCTGGTGCAGCCACTCCGTTTGCTGCTTTGTTGTTGTTGCTTGCTGCTATGGAGTGGTGATGAGACGATGACGGTGAGATGATAGTCCACCTATAGCGTCGCTAAAGGTGGCTACTTCCTCTGCTGACTGCGGTTGCCTTGGGCACTGAACTTCGTCCATGGTAGGTAAAACGCGCGATATAAAAAAACAACTATGGTGGAAAAAAAACTCCACCGGCTACGAAACCAATACCCGCAACGGACACACGAACAAACTACGTCCGGCTACTTCAAGCTATCGGCGAGGAATGAACCGAGACTCTTTTCGTAAGGCTATAAATATAGCCACTATAGTCACAACTTCTGAAACCAAAATATGCTACGTCATTTATGCATATTCCGTAATTCAATGATCTTTAAGATAAAAATATTCATTAAGAGAAAAGGCTTGTATAATATGATCAAATAAAAATAAACAATCAAATAAAAATATAATATTCTACAAAGATTTTTAAATTTATTTCTTAAAGAAAGCTGAAGCATGCCCATAATTCTGGTGAAGATAAAATACTAAATAGATATACTTTTAATCTATTAAATTGTTTAATGTTATATAAAATTGTATAACACAACCATTTTTTTTTTATAATGCTAAAAATTGAATTCTACATATCATTTTTTATGAATTAGCTGGAACATATTAACATTTTTCCTATGTTCAACCATTATCGACATATTACGAATTATAAAAGTCTGAAATTATGTATTTCAGTTATTAGCCATAGTATTTTAATATCTAGCATTCTTCTCCAGATACATGCCTTCAGATTTCTTCATAAACAAATTTGAAGTGGGAATTTTATGAGATATTCACCTTTTAATATTATAAAAAAAATTTATAGTGAGTTGGTGAAGTCCATGTTTCAAATCCAGGTGGCAACTTTTTTATTCGACATGGAACGTTATCATGCGATCATTTTATGACTTACTTTCACTAAAATCGTACGATTATTCGCACGGTAAGAAAAAAGTTCTCAAAATTGTGTTCCTTTCACCCAACTCGTAGCTTCCATGGAGCTAGTCAAAATTGAGTAATATATTATAACTCAATATTGAGAAATCTTGATCATGAATTCAATGGGTGTAAATTTGCCATCACATTATCGAAGGTGAAATTTACCCAACGTTGGAAGGATAAAAATATCGATGGTTAAACATATCAATAATCATTTTCTTTTCTGAATAGGTTTCTGAACATAAAAAATAAACGAAAAAATAAAAACAAAAATATTATTTAATTTATTTTAACCATGATTATGATTGAAGAACATTTTTACTCAATATATTTAAATTAAACTAGACTTAAACGAGCTCTAAAAATTCTAAACAAAAAAAAAAAAACGGCCACCATTTCCGTAATTGATTGCTGCTTCAAACGCGTGTTCATCTCCGTGGTGGGGAGAATATATATCCGGACAGCTATTTCACCAACTTGCAACCATCATCATACCATTCCAACACTACCACGAACCGCCTTGTAATCTAGAATCTAGTTTTATCATCCGGATATGTAGATACGTTGCCGTCTACATGCAGACAATATCACCAAATACTCTGATTGATTATCAGTACCAGCCCGTGGATCTGTCTAGTGGGGACATTCTTCGGATCATATCGGAAGCAGCAAATGCATATTAGGAGGAATTCTGAAAACAACAATATAATAAAAACAATCATTACTCGCCTACAAATTTCCAACATACACTTTGGCGTGTATCTTTTTTCATATTGCTACGTGCAAACTTAACAGACGATATTAATTTAATATAAATCAGCTTATTTAATCAAACACAGACCCTTTTTACGAGTGTCACTTCACGGTGAAAACGAAGTGAAGTGACCACTTGTCACTCATTTCCGGACCTCAAATGACAGTAACCAACGTTGAGTTTATTTAAACTCAATTTTGAGTACTGTTTTTTTTTACCGTAACGACAGTCAGTGGAGCAGTAATGCTGGGTTTAGACTAGGCAAGTCAAATGATCAACTCAGTTGAATTCAATTGGCTTGCAAAGTTGAGCCTGGTTCAACTTTTTTCAATTCAAGTGAGTTGATCAAGTCAGTTGAATGGCATGGTTTACACGTTCAATTCGCGTTCAAGTCAGTTGAATTCAACTGACTTGATCAATTGACTTGCCCTGTTTAAACCCAGCTTAAGAAAATCTCCTTTTTACGAGAAGTCCCATCCGCTAGAGCGGGAATCGACCGTCGCTCCATTATACGCTTGAACGATAGGTGATGCCGCTATCCACACGACCATAAAGCCCACAGACCACAACAAATTTCAAAATCAATATTTTTTATCTTCTCTTTGCATGCAGGTGAATGGATTAGTTCTTCATGGGCGGTCGCATCTAAATGTTCCTACAATAATCAAAGGTCTTGTAGGCTCATCAGTTAAGTTTATTGTTTTGAGGTAAGCAAGAATATAAATTTCACAAACTGCCAATAATGTTTGCATTCCATAGACGATCAAGCGCTACGGAGGATTTAGCCGTCAAGCCAGTAACTCAATTTCCAGTGTGCATAGATGAGGAGGTAACTTTATTAAAAATAACTTTAGATATAATTTGTTTTTTTTTTTATATTTACTGCTTGCTATTTAAACCTACATGTTCAATACAAATCCAAAAAGTCTTCCTATCATAACATACACACTCCCAATTTATCATTATATTATTGGTGAACGATTGGTAAAATTTTGACCTTCATTTTAAAGCTTTTACTCAAAAATAATTTCATAACACGTTCAATTTTGTTCAAATGATCAAATGAAGATTTAGATTTAAAGTAACTTTATAACCATTTAATTGATTTGCCCAAATTGAGATTTCGGTAAAAATTACCAAAGTCGACGAAAATTTCGAAGTGTTATGTAGAACCACAAATGAACGTCATGCAAAAAGTGATTTATTTATTACTGTCATACTGGTATAACTGCACGGCCAACCGCAACAACTCAGCGACTGAATTCAATTGACTCAGAGCATTTTATTTCCATATGAAATTTACTCATATTTGGGAAAACCTGCAGATACACACAGCTAATGCATAATTGCAGGTTTTTCCAAAATATGAGTAAATTTCGTTTGGAAAAAATGCTCTGAGTCAATTGAATTAAGTCGCTGAGTTGTTGCGGTTGACCGTGTGGTATAACAAGGAACAGGCATTGAAGTGCTGCTTATCGGTAGGTAGCATCTAGAGCAAAGTCAGTCGGCGCCGGTGGTGTAGCGGTAAGCGACTGCCGAGGTCGGTGCGATTTTTCAGAGACATAAAATCTCTGGTCACGCCTTCTCTCAAAAGAGAAGTAAAGTCGTTGGTTCCGGCCCATGTGTATTGATAGTTGCCACATCCTACGCAGGTGTGGAAACTGCCTCGCTGCAGATTCGATTATCGTCAATGGATGGCAATCGATGCCCGTCGGTGATTGGCACTAGATTGCGGAACAGAGACCGACGTTAAATAATGAAATTAAGAAGAGAATAAGAAGAAGAATAAGAAGAAGAATAAGAAGAAGAATAAGAAGAAGAAAAAGCCTACATCTGAGCTTATGGAGTTCTGCGGTCCAAACATGTCATACAGAACGTCGCGATAAAATATGTCAAACATGTCATACAGAATATCGTGTAAAATATGTAACACATACTATATAAAAACTGTATACGATATCAACGGAAATACCCTAAGCTACAATATCGAACCAATGTTTCTAGTTTGGAAAAAGCGCAGCGACTAAATTTAATCTTTACATTATACTATCAAAGCTACCCACATTATCAAAGATACCCCGTTTTACGGAACCTAAAAATTTCCACAAGCGCTAAATACTGGACCAATGGCCACTTACCCTATGAGCAAAAAAAGTCTTGAGGAATAATTTTCAGCGCAGGAGTCTACTTTGGCGCAAAATGCGCACTATTCTTCAGAATTAAAAAGTGCAACTATTAAAAAAAAATTAATGCTGTTGATTTTTAACAACATTTTTTGTATGATTTCGATAATTTTGGGCTGCATGGAAAAGGTATTGTTCTAGCATTTTTTTAAATCTATTTATGCATTTCAAAATAACAAAAAATCTGCTGAGCTGGTTGCACTGTTGGGTCTGTTCAGCCTCTTTGATTTTTAAATGTTATATAATTGTGCATTTTTACATTGGATTCAATAACGCTAAGATTACAAATAATATCGTGGTGATTGTTATGATTAATATTAACAAAAAGTAAATATAAGGATGGAATGCGCAGAATTTGACGCGATCACGGTACTCACCTTTATCTTCTATCATGTTTTGACTGAGATTAATTGAACGAAGGGCAGGATTTGAATTGGATATCACAGAAACTGCAAGCTTGTGTATAAAATCCGATCTATGAAATGAGAAAACAAAAATAACTTTTTACCGTAACGCAAGTGCCTCAAGATGCAGTTTCTCTAACCACATGGATCGTTTTAAAACATGAAGAACTCTCTCCAGGGTTTCCGACGCGTATTGGTAATTTTTAGTCCACAGAAAAATGTGTTATATTCCAATGCCGACACGATAGCCATCAAATCTTTCTGCTCAAGATGATCAAAATCTCGCAGATTTAGGATGCGATTGTCATGCGATAGATAGATGGTATCGATGTCCCATGCGACTTCCTCACGGTACTGTGCGGCATGAAAATCGCACATGCATGCATATTGCATGCTGAACCCTGCTGATAGGATTTATTTCGATCTAGAATAATACAAAGCATATTTGGTATTGTTACAGAGGTATGAAAAGTGTCTTTCCTTATGCTTCGTTAAGTTGGTAGTTTAGAGATTTTTAATAGAATAAAATTTAAGCTGTGGTAAATCGTCTTTTTATTTAGTGTTCACTGTTTATTAATCACTTCATCTGAATAAGAAGCCTGTTTGAGTTGGCTACTAATATGATTGGCCATGCTCAAATAAGCATAGAAACCTTAAATCTGTTCGACACATCATTACATAGCACACCACAAAGTAATCAGGATTACATAATAGAAACAAAACGTTCCTATACATATTAAATACTCACATTTCACAAATGAAGAAACGTAAGCATGCCGTGAAGGTAAAAATCGATGCCCACTAAATTGCTCATGACTGTTCAAGGTTATAATCCAAGTTATAGTTCCATAGTTCCAAGTCATAGCCATAGTTCATCGCATATAGAGTAAATGCCGGCTTCGAAGTGCTGTGGGTAGTGCCGACCGATACGGTCGTGTTTTGTGTTAGCTAGGGGCCTGAAGCGTGAGAATTTATTTAAATTAGCTGTTCGCACACATTTTGTTCGCGAGTGGGTTATGAGTTTTTCGGTTGTGTTTTTGTGGTACGATGATCGATTTTCATTAGCTCCAAACTCCGTAGCGATATTTTAAGGTGAAAGTGACTTAGTGAGTAAATACACATTTCGAAAATGTTTATCTCTGTGACATCACTTCAGATTAGAAAAAGCTCTCGATGTTTTGTGTGAAATAATAAAAGGAAAGCATCGACGAGAACTTTTTTTTGCCTGAATTAAATGTTAAATTCAACGAGATACCAGAACATAGCTTTAATGGATTATTTAATTTTTAATGCAGTAAAGACCTGATATTGTCAGCTCTCCTTTTGAAAATCTTTTTCAATGTTCTGCGAAAGTCATGAGCTTCTTCAGTGGCCTTTTCCTCCAAAGTATACCTTAAAGATCCATCTTGAAGATGAATGAGAAAGATTCTGAATCGAGGCTATGTGAACTTATTAAAAGTATTATGCGCATCGGATAATTACTGTACATATATTGCTTTCAGCTCATTGGAGAAATTTTCCATGTTTTCAGCAATAATCTGATATGCATTGTTAGTATATGACAATATTTTTTTTTTTTCAGGAAGAGCTGTTTTCTGCTTATAAGAACGTCCGGGTGGTTTCAATCAAAAAGGTAAGAAAATCCCATATGGTGTTTTAAATTATCGATAAAAAGTTACTTCTCGTAGAGGACATAAGAATTATCGAAATGATGATGGTTGAGTGATGATGTAATTGTATAAATATATTTTCAAACCAAGCTTTTTTAAATTTTCTTGAACTTTTAGTACAACAAGTCCAGGTGTTTCCAATGGCTTTATGAACTTTATTTTTTTTCCATGTGCTTTGATGTTACATGATGGGTTTTTGTTTTTCACCGTAGGTGGATTAATTTTATTTAAGAGAATTTCTAAAAAAAAAAATGTTTTGTAAGTTTTTTTTTCGTTATTTGACATATAGGGAAATGGATGCAATGTCGGCTTAAATGCCTCTGATTTTGGCCCATACATAAATTCGGAAATCGACTAAATTTTCAATAGCGACCAAAAATATCTATTAGTACCGTCCCAATGACGCGTTCATCTAGATAAAATTGATAAAAGCAGATTTTTAGCGATGGCCCAATCTTAGATCCTTAGGCAAACATTAGAGCCATTTCCCCATTTGATAAAATGATGGATCAAGTCCCCCTGAAGGGCAAACGTGCGGTGCCGGTGGTGTACTGGTAAGCGTGACTGCTTTCTCACTTCAATGGGTTTGGGTTCGATCCCAGCTCAGGTCGGGGGGATTTTTCTGAGGCATAAAAATCTCTGGTCACGTCTTTGGAAGGGAAGTAAAGCCGTTGGTCCCGAACCATGTGTATTTAAATGGGTCTGATATCCTACACAGCTGCCTTCCTGCACATTCGATCGCCGTCAATGGATGGCAATCGATGTTTGTCGGTGATAGGCACTAGATTGCGGAACAGAAACCGACGTTGAATAAAGAGAAAAAAAAATATCTATTAAAAATAATTTTAATGAACTGATATGCACAAAGTGCGTTTTTGGATTTTTTATGTGGATTTCCGCACTTTTATCCGTACTTATAATGTGCGCAATGTGCAGTATGATTATGCATGGATGTAATTATAGGTGTAATTATGATGTTCATAGCATACGGGGTATGATAGAATCGATTTAGCAGTCGATTAAGAATTTAATGTTGTGATAATTAACCTAGTCAACACCTTCAATTTATTTTTAGGGATCTTCTGGATTGGGTATCATGATTATTGAAGGAAAACACGCAGAAGTTGGTCAAGGTATATTCATCTCAGATATCCAGGAAGGATCAATGGCAGATAAAGTATGTGATGTGCCTCAAAACTGAGTAATGCAGGAATAGTATATCTCTACTAGCATTAAAGTTGTGAATATTTTTGAAATTTTATTTACTTATTTACTAAATTTTAACCATTGAAAACGCAGGCATAGCTCTTCTACACACTTCATGTAAAGACATGTAAATTTAAGTGCCTCGAGACCGACACATGCAAGTTCAGTTGAAAAGGACGAGAAAATCAATTTAATAAAACGGCAAACATACTTTTGAACATAAAAACCAATAAATGATCCATAAAATATTGGAAAACGTTCCATAAAAATCATCCAAATGTTCCATAAAACTTCGGAGAAAATCCTTAAAAAAGTGTGAATGATCCATAAAAAATATCAATATGATCCATATTTAATGTAAAATTTAGCAACACAATTGTAAAAATGTACCGCTAAATTTCTAAATAATGAGCATTGAAATGTACGAATTACCCATAAACATATTGCAATTGATCCATAATACATTCAGCAGTGAACCTTAAACTAAAGAAAGTGATCCATAGAAAATCATGTTTGCGCACTTAAAAATATAGCCATGTTCGTATTAATGAAAGCAACTTCCTCAGAGCAGTCTCATTTTGGACAGTTTGAAGCTGAAATAGGTTTTATTAAACTAATATAAAATCAAAACCAATCTTAATGCTTATAAGGTGGCAAAAGGAACCAAGAAGTCTGTCTCAAATAAACCACCTAGCAGAAATAATAGAGTGAGGAGTGATGCCGCAACCGAATCTGGAAAAGGAAGTACCAATGTGGTCAGCCTGGAAGAATCCCTAGACCAGTTGCTGCAGGAGAAAAGCGCAAATAAGAAAGCGCTGGAGGAAGAGAAATTCCTCCATGAAAAGCGATAGGAGGCTGAGCGGGAGATTTTCAAACCGAGAGTTATCTTCCGTCACTCTTTCAACAAAGATTTGGCTAGATTTAGCATTTAGGGATTCAATTATTATTTTAGTTAAGCACGCAAACGATGTAGAATGAGCTACTTACTAGTTACTTAGGGTAAATCATGTATATAGCGTTTAGGAACAAATTGTAGGTTACCAGATTTTAGGATCAAACTGTAGTATCTAGATTAAGCAAATATAGGGGGGGTGACCCGGGCGTAGTGGTTAGCATTCATACCTCTCACGCCAAAGTCACGAGTTCAAATCTCAACCCGGACAAGTCACGAATGACCCAAGAGCGTTAAAGTGACTATAATTAAAAAAAAAAAAAAAAATCAAATATAGGGTTATTAAATTCAATATTTGCACGCATTCCACCTCCAACTAACCTACTTCAGTAGCTACATAGAGGTAACTTCAAGACCAGAAGGTCCCGAAGAAATGTGCTCAACTTTTTGGCTAAGCTCTGGTACTATCTTCGGTCCCAAGCTTATCGATGCACCCCTATAAAACACGAGAAAATCCACGAACCCCTCATTTTACCTGTCAAACTTTCATAGCGAATCAAAACAAACATTGTGTAGTACTAAAATTTTGACTAGAATGAGGTACGTTAATCGATTTGCTTGGGACCAATAGGCAAGTCAAGTAGTGAGCCAATTTAAAATCGTTAGTTTCGTATTGATTGTTGGTAGCTAGTTCACTACAAATAACTACAATTTGATTAAACGATAGGTATATTAACAAATTTAGGCAATTAAAATAATTTAGCTGTAAAACGTTTTTTAAATGGTTTGGAATTGTGTCTTCTTTTCCTCTTTTTTTCTCGTTCATACTCCGACCTATCTAAGGTTTGGTTCAACGGAACTGTGAGTTCACAGTTCCGTTGAACCAAACCTGACGTCTGTCATTTCTGACAGCGACCGTTACCGTAGCTCTCTGAATCCCCCACAGGGTTGTCACTAGACTTGGCGGTACAGTGTTATCCCGATATTCCGAACAGCCATGATCCATAAATTAGACGTATATTATTCACGTTTTGGACACTGTATTATTAATTTTGATCCATAAACCATGAAAAATTGCTCCATTACTGCTTAACTACTTAGATTTACTGTCCTGCCGTGTTTTTAGGTAGATGTGCGGAGCGATGGTCAAGCGTCTAGAATTAGCTTCCAAAAGAAGCTTCTATAATAATCTTCTTAAGAAAAAATGAAAAAAAATGTTACTTTTATGGATCATACCTAGGGTAGGTGTTCCAGTTGTTGGTAGACGTGCTTATTTTGGTGTGTTCCAATTATAGTCTATATCTCGGTCTATATACATATGTTTTTTTAATTTGATCAATAAACCTTGGAAAATTGCTACATTACTGCGTAGCTACTCAGATTTACTGTTCTGCCCGTGTTTTTTTTTGTCAGAAGAGCAGAACGATAGGCGAGCGTCTAGAATAAGCTTCTTAAAAAGTTTCTAAATGAAGCTTCCACAGTAAATCTAAGTAGATAAGCAGTGGAGCAATTTTTCAAGGTTTATGGATCAAAAAAAAAAAATAGTGTCCTAAACATGAATAATATACGTCTAATTTATGGATCATGCCTATATTTTTAAGTGTGCAAACTTGATTTTTTATGGATCACTTTCTTTAGTTTAAGGTTCATTGCTGAATGTTTTATGGATCAATTGCAATATGTTTATGGGTAATTCGTACAATTCCAATGCTCATTATTTAGAAATTTAGTGGTACATTTTTACAATTGTGTTGCTAAATTTCACATAAAATATTGATAATATTGATATTTTTTATGGATCATCCACATTTTTTTAGGGATTTTCTCCGATGTTTTATGGATCATTTGGATGTTTTTAATGGAACGTTTTTCAATATTTTATGGATCGTTTTATCAATTCTAAAGGTGCAAACTTAGGGCTGCCTAATAAAACGCATTTTTCGTCGATTTACATATGTTTCAGTTTCAGGACACTTAATTTTACATGCCATGTTTGTTTACGTTCCATGATTTAATAATAATTTCTAAGTGTGTAAATTTAAGATTGTCATGTAACTCAATAATGACATTACGACACCTTAGCCAGCCAGTATTGGTATGTTTCATGATTGTAACGTATTGTGATATTTTCTCTATTTTCCCATTCACTAATTAATAATACTATACCTATCTACATTTTCATCTCAATTCAAATTATTGAAATTTATCATGTTTTTCAGCATTTTATTCTAAATGAGTAAATGACCGGCTTTGTGTTCGGTATAGCAAAATACGCTACGAGGTGGGAGTCGTAGCGTATTTTGCTATACCGAACACAAAGCCGGTCAAAATTTATGCAGACCCTTCCCCTTTCATTTAAAATTCTACGTCATTTATGAATCGTTCTCTATATGGTTCTCAATAAAAATATCGAAAAAGAATGAGATTTCAATTTACACACTAGTCTTGTTGCTTTGCAAAAAAAAAAGACTCCGATGGTTTGGCAAAAAAAAGACACAAATGGTTTGGATGATACCCAGAACCCGTCGTTAAGCAAATTAACCATACAATTTTAATTAGGGAAATCAGCAAGCTGCCCTAATAAAAATTGTATGGTTAATTTGCTTAACGACGTGTTCTGGGTATCATCCAAACCATTTGTGGAATAGTTCAATGATTTGGGTTATCGTTCGTTTATGGTTATTTTTTATTAGGGTGAGCAAAACGTGGCTTGATGTTCATTTCTTACCATTGCATCTTATGTAATGGGGCAACTGATTATGGTGTGTTTCAAAACATTTTCTGAACAAAGCTATTGAGTTTTTCCAAGATTTTGAAAATATAAGTGATATAGTACCATTTCTAAATTTCAATTATGACGAAAACTCAAATGGGTCGACATACGATGAGCACCCGCATAAACGCGAATAATAACCAGACCTTACCAAAAATGGTTAAAAATTGTTTATAATCTCTGCTAAACTTTAACTGAAATGGTGATGGAACTTTACATGAACGTTTGTGTGATAAAGTTTTAACCTTATGTATTATGGTTCTTTGGAAGTGAACCTCACAAATAATGGGTTGTTAAGAACCATTACCATACAAAATAGTTGTTTTCTCCATATGTTTTCGGAAAGAGAACTATATTAGAACCTTTTTACTTATGGTATGAGAATTTTAATGGTAATGGTTATGGTAGTTAGTAAGTTTCATGTATGGTTTTGTATCGTCGGTCAACTTTACGTGGAATAAATCGCGAATAGGTTGCCTATAAATTAAATATTACCAATTCACGATATATTTCACGTAAAGTTGACCGACAATACAAAACCATACATGGACCTTACTGAAAATACCTATGTATTTATGGGGTATTTGAAACTGGAAATCCAATATGGTGGCTACCGCTATGGCGCGCCATATTGGATTTCGAAATTATGTTATAAACTGACGATATTTTTTTTATATGCTTACTGCTACTATTTTGGCCGTAAACACATTTTTGTCAAATTCCTGAAATTTTAATTTTTACTACTAATGCGCAAAATTTTAGTAAATTTGGTTGTATTGCAAGGTCGCCATCGACTGCCCACGAAGCTTCCCATCACTGTATAATTATTTTTAAAAAATTTCTCGTCACTTGTATATTATAGCAAATGATGATCAATTTTTTTTAACAAGTTTGTTTATTTACATGGCTTAGTCGGATTTGCGGAGCCAAAAATCAGTAATGTAGTTTAGTATTGGGTACCAATTACTCGTGGCGGGCTCGAGGTTAATGGGTAACAATTGGTGATTGGAAGTTCCTAAAAAGCGAAGTGCCCAAGTAGCAATTTTGGTTTTATAAGGGTTCTGTAGACCATGATTTGGACTTGTAGCATGCTTTAAAACTACTATAAAACTTGCAATGTAACTTGGGTGGTTTCCTAAGCCTTCTTCAGATACTACTCTCTGACGGCGGGAAATTGTTTGGAAAGGAGGGGATGATTACATCAAACTCTAACATCAGACAAACAAAGGAATTTGTAGAACGCCTGCATGCAGGGAAGATCTCGTGATCCCAATACATCTCTTATTTCATGGAAAGGCTGTCTGCT